TATGTATTTTGCTAAATGATGGATAAGAATTTTATATTTAGTCATTTTTACATGTTGAGTTTGTTTTAATTAAAAAAATGTAGATATAAAATAAATTACAGTTTACTTTTTTATAATCTGATTAAATATATATCTTTTTTTTTTAGTAGATAGTGTTTGAGTAAATATGTAGTCAGATTAAATATGTATTTAGTTAGATAATATTTGGTTGTGAGCATGGTAATCAAACTTCTCCTATGCCAGTCAATACGTCATGAAAAATACTTGAATATTTAAAGAAAAATTGATGGAATAATATTCCTCACTCATAAAATTTTAATATACAATGATAAAATTATTTTTGTTAAAATTACGTAAAATTTATATCAAAGCATGCATAGAAGACAGTTAAATTATTTAACTATAAAAACCTTTAAAATATTGAAAATCCAAATCAGTGGTCCAAGTTATAATTTTTATTAAATTTATAATTATTTTATTATTTGATTATGCATAGTGACTTCATGTATGAATTTCATAAATTCAAGTTTACATACCTGTCACGAGTTTACTTAAACTCGTGAGTTTGACAACCCTGGTTGTGAGCTTAGTCTAGTCTTGTATCTAGCCAATAAAAGCTAGCACTAAATGGTGTCAAAATTTTCCTAATAAAAAGAGTACTGATGATGGGGTTAATAATAATAAAAGAAATGAGTTTTTTTTTTGGAAAAATTAGAGGGGAGGACCTAGAGAAAGCAATATTTATTAAAGAGGATCTTAAAAATTATAATTATTTAGGCAGACCAAATAATAAACTATAAATTTAAAAAAATCACTCAACAGTACTCAACTATATTTATTACAGAGGAGTAATAGCTAATTGTTTCGTCATATTAAGTAATTATAATTTTTAAATAACTAGTGTGAAATAGTTATTAACATTTATTTTTGTTTTCATTCATAAGGATGTTTTTTTGGGGTCACTTAAACGGTACCTAATATAAAATTACACAAGTACATTTATTATAAGCTTATTATTATTTAATGTAAATTTACCTTTATGTGTTAACTAAAGTATATATCTCATCAAAAGCATTTATTCGCAATATAGAAATTAGAGGTTGAAAGGAATATAATTATTCTTTAATAATATAGATAAATTAAAATTGAACATTTGAAGTATGAAGTTGGGACCAGGAGAAAAATGAAGCAGAGGCAATTTTTTTGAATAAGAAATATTTTCAAATTAATTTATTTAATCAAATATTTATCTAATTTAGTCATTAAAAATATCCAATAATGGAACATAAGTTAGAAAAAATTTAGGAATGTAGTTGTGGGAGAATTTAATGTTTTTAAATATATTTAATCCTTCTAAATATTTATAGTTTTTAAGATCCTTTTTGATAATAAAACAGAAGTAATGATTTTAGCTAATTTTTTAATAATATTTAATTATAATATTTTTGAATAAAATGGAATGAATAGAAAATTATTTATTTAATATATTTGAAATATGTAATTTATATTATTAATTTTATATTGATATATTAGAATTTATAATAAAATTTTAATATGTAACGTTTAGTGGTGATACTGGCTATGTGGTAAGGTTTTTTTTAGTTTTTTCTGATCAATATCATCATTTTCTTTTATATGAAAATTTTTTCAAACCTAATGTTTTATTTATTTCAGGCTGACATAGCAGAACAGTTATATAGGCTAACAATTAATTCTCGTCCAACATGCTCTGATTGTATTGATTATCGAGAAAGAGTTGCTCGAGACCAGCGTAACATCTTACTTGCAGTTAGAGAACAACGGTTTAATATGAATTCTCAACCAGCTCCACCACCAGTTGAGCTACCCCGTCCACAAATTCCTCGAGATAGACTAAGCAAACGGCGAGGCGGTTACTTGTCTACTCAGCCACCAATTGTAAATGAAAATTTAAGTGAACAAGAGTTTCAAAATTTTAGTCATTTTGATAACATACCAGTCTCATCAAGCCCTATCACCTCTTCCAATCCAACTCATTTTTACCCTCATCACATGCCATCATCATCAACATTATCCCATTCTGACTCACCCAATCCTCCTCAATTTCAGTCATTCATGTCCTTATTTGATGATCCTGCATTATTTATCGATCAATATAACACTTCTTCTTTTGAGCAAGGTGGTCCATCAAATGAAGCATTTGTCACCCCTTGACAATCAATTTCTTTAGCCGAATCACCTTGGTTTGATTTAAATACGTCAACTACGCAGACAAATGAGACATTAGATCAAACTCAAGAAGTAAATATACAACAACGGCCATAGCGTGCGCGGAGGAGACCAAGATGTGGCACGGGGAGTCATTATTTGTGAGGTAAATTAATTCTTATTTTTGTTCATGTCAATTTAATTTTTATTTTTTATTAATTTTATAACATTTAATCATTACTTATTTTCTTTAATCACTTTTTAATTAATATAATATTAATTATTACTACTATCATTATATAATTATTAACTCATTGTTCTAATGATATGACCATTATTAACATCCCTGTAGGAATATTTATGTGGTGAGAGACTGTGAAGAAGTTGTTCAGATGCTGGTGAAATTTAAAAGTTGTTCACATCAAGATGAATTTCAGCTAGACGGAAGACAAGGTTTATTGGAGGAATTGCTCTTACTGAGATGAATTTTAAACGTTGTTCAAGCCAAGATGAAGTTCAACTGCATGGGAACCAATGTTTATCGAAGAAATTGCTCTCATTAAAATGAACTTTTAAAGTTGTTTAAGCTAAGAAGAACTTTGAGTGTAGCATTTGGGGAAATAATTCTCACTATGTAGTATTTGAAGAATTTTTTCCTTGTTTGCAGCGTTTTGCTAAAAATTCCCTAAGTAACACAAAGTTGGGTTTGATTGCAAAACCCAAAACATGCAAAACAAAAGCCCCTTTCACTCCGTTAAGTGAGGAGAAGGCTTATGATGAGTAGGAATACATTATTAGCTTTCGACTAGAAACTAAGGATAAAATAAAATGTGAATCTGACGGATTTTTTTCTAAAAATTCTTGGAGGAGATTATCATATTTCTACAATTCAATTAGATGTGAAATCTAGAAATTTCCTCAATATACTATTATTTTTAATAAATCTATATTAATATCTAATTAATATTAATTATTAATTAAATAGAATTAATTAAATATAAATAATATTAAATAAAAAATAATAATATTCTATTTATAATTTTAGAATTTTAGTTATAATTTTGGAATAATTAAATAAAAAGAATGCCGAATGCCTTATATAAGTAGAATTCATACTATACACTCACATGCAAAAATAAAGTACTCACGCATGAGAGATAAGGAATGACTACTCTATATTGATGAGAATATTTGGGGAAGGAAGGAACACTTTACGTGGGGCTGGAAAAGGCAAAATAGTCTGGTCAAAATATGAAAGCTGAAAACGCATGGAGTGTAAGACAAATAGTGGGTCCCACTGAAGTTGTTCAGACCAAGAACAACTTCCATTTTGTGATGTGGGTCCCACTGAAGTTGTTTAGACCAAGAACAACTTTCATATTTTGGATGTGGGTCCCACTGAAGTCGTTTTTGGCCTGAACAACTTCTGTACAAATTTAAACTCGTTCACCATCTGAATGATTTCAAGTGTAGTATCTGAGTAAATATTTTTGATCTTATAGCATCTGAGTAAATATTTTTACTGTTTGTCGTGTCTGGTAAAAAAAGCCTATCAAAAGCAACATTATTAAGTCAAGCGAAGGCCAGAAATCCCAAATGATAAGTGTGAACTCCAGAAATAAAGAATGATATATGGACGAGGAATGAGAATTTTTGTTGATAAGCAACTGAAATGAGATAGAAAACCTAAATGATATTTGAATATTTGATCGTAGTATAATCATTGATTCACACACAAATTGGCCGGTACTCCATGCACGCCACACCATTCGCTTATTTCATATATGATTGATTGAACGAGACGTAGGATTAGGAAAAAATGGATTTATAAATATGAACACAACTAAATTTGACCATATCCTCAAGTACTATGTTCAACTTTTAGACAACACCAAATATTGATTAGATTGTTATTTTACAAATAACGTGAAAAAAAGAGAGACAAGATTCAAAATTCATTACTACGTGTCAACCATGCACTCTGCCGCATGATTGTGGACAAAATTATGGATAATCGACTCGTCTCTCGTGGCTTACATTTTTCAAACTATATTGAAATTGTCAAATTGAGGTACCAAGCCATCGTTAGTTGGATGATACGTTTCCCCACGCATCCAATGCAATTTCCCCCGCGCCCCCTCTTTGGTGCATTTTCTTTGAGCATTCTTTTTTCTCATGTTTCATAACTACTAGTAATTGATACTTAAGGTTAACTAACATCTACCGATTTGAAGTATTGTTTCAAAATATATAATGCAGCGCCTTGACTTGAAAGAAACAACTTTATTTCCAATGTCATGTCCTGAAGATTCGCAGCCGACACTGCAGGCTAACCTATATATGATTCGTGCAACACATACACGTAATATCTCTGCATTTTTCGGCTTCTGTGTTTTCGTCTCATTTCGTTATAATTTCGTACTAATCATCTGTCTATAATTGTACACAGGGCTGCAATATACTCCTCCTATCCTTGATATAAAACTTAGGAGGTATTTGGATAAAAATCAAACCATAGTTAAGAAGCAATGTTTTAAAAGCTGGCCAGGAAGTCAAGCCAGAAATAGCAGCGAGTCATGGTTCAAACGGTTGGACCGTTCTGTCGGACCGGTAAGATAATAATTAAATTAAAAATAGTGTTATATAGTATATAATATATACATATATAATATTATAAACACAATTAGTACAATTTATAGTAAAATTAGTAAAGTCACTATATATGTTTCAAGTTTAACAAAATAAAATCATTGAAAGTAACAGCATCTTAACAATCTAACACTAAATGACCTCTAAGTACTCAATACAATGCACTAAGACAAATGACTTGATGACTTATCAAATATTGGAGGATCTTGATTAAGCCAAGCATGAGTCTCCAAAAAGGCATCTGGGTCTGCAGCCTTTGCACTATGACTATCAATATCTTCTTGAGAAAATGATCCTAAATCAACACCTACTCCAACTCTAATTCCAAAGCATCCATCCTTAACTTGAGCCTCATTGCCCCTCTCTTCATAATTATCTTTATAAAACAATTTGCAACAATCATAATATTGAAATTAGTAAAATGTATAATATAAATTTAAAAAAATAGAAAGATTAGAAAACATCTAACCTTCTTCATTGATGAAACCTATTGGCATTGGTAGTGTTGTATTATCATAAATGATGTCTTCTTCGATCTCATCAGCACGAAGTGTTGAAAGTGGAGGAGAATCAACTTCTTCAATTATCCAATATTCAATCTTATCAATACTTTCATGATCAATAGGGTTAGAAGTTTTGTTCTTGTTAACAACCCTAAAAAACAAATGACAATAACATAGTATTAGCATTTATTTAATTAATTGTTTGAAAAATATAAATTCAAGTAAAATATAAAACTTGGAAAAATATACATATTCCTCAAACGAAAAATTGTAATGAACAAAGACAAGATCATTCAGCCTTTTATGCTCCAACCTATTCCTTTTCTTGGAGTGTATTCTTTCAAAGACACTCCAATTCCTTTCGCAACCTAATGAAGATGCAGTTTGGCTTAACAATTGAATAGCTAACTTTTTCACATTTGGACAACTACCTCCAAAATATCGCCACCATTCATCTGTCATATCAAAAATAGAATATCATCAAATGATTAAGTCACAGGCTTAATGTCTAAGAATCAAGAATTATGACTCATCAAACTATCATCAAACATTAAAATATAAAACGTTACTAGGTCGCATTGATTTTGCAGATTCAAGGGCCAAAGGATGATTAAAGCTACCACTTCTATTTTGGTATTGTGTGCCTTCTTGCAAGAACTTGGTTTTATTGAAAGCTATTTTCCTATTTATAACCGTAAGATATCCATTCATAACCTCTGGCTTTTGAGAAAAGTTAGCCTGGTCATGAAGAAAAGCATGATTTAAGACATAAGCTGCTGCGTGAAGATCTTGGCGAAGTTGTGTATCCCACCTTCTCTTAATAATTCTTGTATAGGGCTTGTATAAAGTTTTTTTGCCCATGAAATTACTCTAGATAGCTTTCCTTACCCTATACATATCCTCATAGATATATCCAAGCGAAGGCCTATCATCAGAATCAACTATTCTCAACAATCGAATAAGTGGTTTTACAACTTCAACAATAATCTCACAATCATTCTAGAACTTGTTATCTAATATAATCATTGTTACATCTTTGGCTCTCTGATCTCTATATTATCTGGAATCTAAAAATGCCCTGCTAGTTACCAGGGCTTGTAAATCATGCTTGTGATCAAGAAGACCTTTTAATGCAATAAATGTAGTAGCAAATCGTGTTGGCCTTGGATGGATAATTTCTTTCCAACCTTCTGTTTTCCTCAGCCAGGCAAGCAAAAATGCATGATTGTAAATGAATTTTGAAACCTTTGAAGCTCTGGATGCCAAACTAGTAACAATAGCCATTTTGCCAATGTCTACTAAAATTAAATTTAAGCAATGGGCAGCATATGGAGACCAATACATAGAAGGATGCTTGTTAGTTAATAACCTCCTAGCAGCTTTATAATTAGCTGCATTATCAGTTACTAAATGAACCACATTATCCACGCCAACAAATGTAACCATTTCCAAGAACAAGTTACAAAGAGTTTGGGCATCCTTCACAATATCTGAGGCATCAACAGACTTAATGAACACAATCCCTCTAGGACAGTAAACAAGAAAATTAATCAATTGTCTATTTCTTTGATCTTGCCAACCATCAGCCATTATTGTGCAACCAGTTTCTGCCCAAAAGCTTCTATACTCATCAACTAACAATTGAACCTCATTTTTCATATCTTGCAGTAATTTGGTTCTAAAAGCATGATAAGATAGCTCTTTATAACCAGGTCCAATAGCTGCAATAGCATCTATCATAGGCTAGAAGTAAGGAGAATTAACAGCATTAATTGGAATACAACAATCATAGAGCCACCTAGCCATAGCTAAGTCTGCTCTATGCACGGCTTCCTTACCTGCAAACACACTTCTAATTCCCGATTGTGCACCTGGACTTCTCCTTGGGGCAAAGAATTTGTCTATTGGTGCAGATGGCTTTCTTTTCACAGCTTGAGATGGTCTTAAGATAGAAGTTTGAATATTTTGCTGAGAAGAAGTTGGAGTAGGAGTTTGAATCTGTGTCGAAGGAACCTCTTGCAAATTTGGAGCATCCCTTCAAATGGTGTGACACTAGGACCATAAGGATTGTCCTCTTCATATATATCTTGTTTCTTACCTTTCTTCTCTTCAATTTCTTTCAAATTTTCTCCCAATTGAAAGCGAACATCACCCGGAACCTTTTTACAACTTATTATATCTCTTTTTATTCTCGCAAGATGCTATTTCAGTCTATGTATCCCTCCACCTCCAAATTCCTTTGCACAATACAAACATCTCAAGCGAGGTTTGCCACTTGGGTTTTTGCTAGTTACTTGAACACAATGTTCCCATGCAGGATCAGCCTTCGATCTCACAAATTGTGTAGAGGGAGCATTACCGGATACTTGTTGGGATTGGGATGACATCTTCTAATTTATACAATACAAATATACAATAGTATCAATTAATTATAACTAGTAAACATATCTAGAGAGCATGTTAATTGAGAAAAGGATTTTGAATTTAAGCACTCAATTATTTAAACAATTAATTATAGTTCATGGAAATATAATTATAATTTATGGATCATGTAGGACTATAAGTAATATTTAGTTTTTTTTTTCAAATTAGATCCACCACTAGCCTTCTTTAAATTTAACCCATCAAGCTTCTTTAAGTTAAAGAATAAATAATCAATCATCATTGTTTCATAAGGTATAAACTTGCGAATTATAAGATATAGTGATATACACTAAACGAGCATAATCAAAATGGTAACAAATATACAAATATAGTCCAACAAATAAAATATGACAATAAAAAAGATAGTTAAATATTCAAATGCCCCATATTCGAATACCAAGCCAAAAAGATGGCTAAAATATTAAGTCTCTGTCTCTTTGACTCTGTGCACATAGCTAGGTCCCATTGTTTATTTTTATATTTCTTTCTAACTTCATTCTAAACTCAACGAAATCCTCTTGGTTACATGCAAATGGAAACAGATATATATATACGTATATGACAGTTACAGGCTTCTGAATTGTTTTATCATATTCTTCAGTACATTCAACCTGGATTAAACACACATTTAGGAGACAGATCACGATGTAGTTGAAGTAAACACAAGTTGGTCAGCTCGCTGCGAAGAAAAATGGATCCCAACATGGATTCCTCGGCCACAACTCAGAGCTCACTCAACACACACATATATATAAGCTTATACATAGGTCAAAATCAAATAGTTACAGGCTTACAGCTCACTTAATACATATATTAGCATCAAACGCTATCTTTCCATCTCTGGTACTGGTAGTCAACTTTGGTTTTGGCAAAATAAACAGAGCATGGAGGTTCATTGAAACAACCGATTACCGATACAAAGCTATTTAGAATCCAATGAGTAGAGAATGATTTACCTGTTTAGAATCCAACAGATTTGGACTGTGATGACTTCAAATTTATGATCACCTCTGCCTTTAAGCCTCTACTTCTCTAACTTGGGTTTTTCCAACTCCTTCAAAGCGGGAACGTGCGGATGAAGATGGACACTGAATCAGAAATAAAACCTAACCGTGAATGTTGGCGGACGACGATGTGTATGAACGGAGCACGGTAGACCACGGCAGACGGAGGAAGAAGATAGGGAGATGGAGAAGTGGTGGTGGGGACCTAGGGCACTCAGACTCATGAATTCGGTCCCGTGTTCACGACGAAAAGCGCCAAGCAGAAAGTCAGAAAGAGGGGTCTTCGTTTTTTTATCAAATATGGACTTTTGGCAGTTTTGGGCTTTTTTCTTTTTAAATTCTGATGATGTCCTTCAGCACTTCAGCCCGTCCAGTTTTCACAAATCCGGAACAAGTTCTGACCCAAAAGCCAATAAAAGGCGGTCCAAAACGAATTAACCACTTAAAGGCCAAAACCCTCTGTCTGAGTTGTTGTGTGGATCGGGCGATGCTTTGACCGGTCAGACTGTCCGGTCCGGTCCAGCTCTTAAAACCCTGTTAAAAAGTGCTTTTACAGTTTACAAAGTAAATATGTGAAGGAATTTGTCTTGTTTTGAAGAAAGGTACTTCTCAAAAACACTTTTGAGGGTTGCCAAACACCCACTTAATTGTTGAGTTGATTTTGATCCTAAATATAAAATTTATTTATCATATTTACTAATTTTTTCTAAATTACCGTTATAGATATCATCTCAACTATAATCAAATAGAAGAGGGAGGGAGAATATTAAAAAAAATGATTATGATGTTTTAGAAAAAACATGTTATATTTCTTATGATTAATTAACTTAATTTTTTTAATTTAATTAAATTAGTTAAATAGGTCTTATATTAAAGACTGAAAGTGTAATATGTATGATATCATATCCCATATAAGTGATACGATGTGGTGTTTGTATAGCAGCGTGGCTGCGCGCGCGCACACATATATATTCATATGGACGCATGCTCTGAGACGACTTGGTTGGCACAGTAGTAAGGTTTGGAATCAAAGTGTGTGTATATATATTTTGTGTGTGTGTGTGTGTGTGACTCCGTGGTAGTTATGAAGCTTAATTGAATTGTTGCGTGAGTCAGTGTGAATATGCAGTCAAGAACAGCGCCCCTGCCGCTTTGATATAATATATGCATATACTTCATGTACATGTGCCGCCCTGCTCTTTCCTTTTCCCATACCTTTTGGGCCCCTTCTTCTTGTTCGAGTCGATGGTAGGGTAGGAGGTCGGGAGAGCCGGAGAGGATTGCCTTGGGCTGCTTGGCGGAGAAGGGAGGACGGCAAATGGAAAATTAAAGAGAGGGTGGGGCCGGGCGGCCACCGCCAAAATTAAAGGACCTCGTTATTTTTATTCTCCACGGCGACTGGACCTGTGTTCCGTTCCCTGTTGCCCCACAATATAAAAGAGGACGGTGAATATAATGATTACACTCTTATGGTCAAGAAATATTTAACTAATTTAATTAGGTCATAAAAATTACGTAAGTTAAATAATTATAGAAAATATGACAATTTAGGTCTAAAATATTATAATCATCTTCTTTAATATGCTTCTTTCCTCTCCTACTTAATTATAATTTAGTGAGTATTAATAGGTATAATTTAGAACAGATTGATAAATATGATAAATAGGTCTTATATTTAGAACTAAAATCAACTCAACAATTAAGCCTCATATTAAGGAACGGAGGAATACTACTCCTATATTTAATATAAGAGTTAGTTCACTAATTTAAATAAATTCAAAAAATTAGTTAAATCAGTTATTTGTAATAAATAAATAGTATCTTCCCCAAGATACCATTGCTAATTATGTTTATTAGCTATATATAATTACCATTTAATGAAACATTTAATATGACAGCCACTATAAGGACTACCTTAAAAATAGATAAATATAAAAGACTATCTTAAAAAAAATAGATAAATATATATATGAAAGACTACCTTATAGTATAGTGGTGAGTATTCTCGCCTGTTATGCAGGCAACCAAGTTTAACCCTTAGCAACGACACCAAATTTGATTCTCATGTCGCCTTGGGGTCAAATTAAAACTAGATCAATAATGCAGTTATATAGTGCTAACCTAGGCCGATCTCTTATTAGAGTCTAAATTATGAGGTCCTATATTAATGAAAATCAAAATTACTATTTAAAAGGGAGTTTTTGTTGATTTTCCAAATATAAAAAGCTATATTTGCATTGAAAACAATTCTAAATACTTTTTTTCAATCTTCTTCTTATAACGATTAGTATACAAGTAAATTGAAAATGAAAATGAAAATGAAAGATAATTGATTAAAAAGATAACAATCGATAAGATCTCGGTAAAGCTTTTAAACCATGCCTTCCTTGTTTCAAAAGATTTATAGAGTTTTAATTGCCAATTAATCAATTAGCTTGAGCAACTACTTAAACTTAGATTAATTAACCTGTAACAAAAGCTTTTAATTAAAAGAGTTCAGAATAGAATTGAGAACTCTCATTAAGCTCCATTGGAAGAGATTAATAACTATGTACAGTCAAAATTCAACAATCTTAACACCGTAAGATTGAACCAGTAACTTAACCCAAAAGATTACCGGTAAATCAACTGAATTCAATGTCAAACAACCAAGTCAAGCATTAAACAATTCAAACCAGTACACAATGATCCAATCTTAACATTCAAATCCCAAACTATACCACAACTGTAATATAACAAATCCAGAATCACAATCCAGATATCTAGCTAAGAAAAATCAAAATGCAAAACTAAAATTGGAGATAAAAATGTCATTAAAAACTCCTTAGTTGATTGCTCTAAGTTCTGGCATAGCTCTCTACTCCTTAAGGATATCGGGTTCAGCTACTCATGGTCGGCTAAACCACTCCACCTGACTCCTTCAACCCTTCAATCACCATTGTAGCAAATCACAAGCTGAAAGAGGGAAGAGGCGTCGGACAGAGAAACTAAAACGAGGGGAATGGAAGATGGAGGCCACAACGTCGACGATAGTGACGAGAATGTGAGAAGATGGTGAAGGTCGCTGGTTGTGGAAGCTTCAAAAGTGATGAAGATGGAGGGCGAAGGTCACGAGTGACCGAGTAGAGAAGAATGGTGGAGGTCGTCAGTGGTTATGGAGGTTGACGGTGGTGTGGAGTAAGAGATGGAAGATGACGAGGGGGATAGTGGAGGGCAGAGGACACGAGGTCGATGGAGGATGGAGGGGATCGTGATGTGAATGGAGGTATGGAATTTCGGGGTATGTGGCCAACCACTTCCTCTGGACTTCTCTCCCCTCAAGATTGACTAGAAAAAAACCCTAAAAAATCTGAATCTGCAGAGCAAAACAGTGATTTTTGAATTTTGGAACCAAACAGTCATTTCTGAAATTGGGATACTAGAGCAGCAACATCATTGATTTTGAATTGTCATTTTTGAAATTCAGGCTCCATTGTCCCGAGGTTTTAACTGGGGTTTCGAAAATTTGCTTGTCCTTGTTCATCTTTTACAGAATTCACCTAGCATAATACCACATGTCTAATTAATCAAGAAAATAATGACATTTATACCATTTTTTCAATTAATTCATGTAATCATTCTTAATTAATATTTATTCATCAATAATGTAATTTATAACCATTAAACACATCAAAAAGGCTAAAAAAAATGCATGAATTAACATATAAATAATTGAACACATCATGATCTCATATTTATAATCAAATTAAATATCAAACTAACTCTTACGTTAGAGACAAGAGATGCCTTTAGTTGTGTTGGCCAGACTGGAGCCGGAAAGGATCTAACGATGGATGAAAGCATTAATTAGTGTGGGAGTAGTGGAAGAATAGAAGCCGCACCCTGCACGAGTCTGAAATTGCCCATAAAGGATGTGGACCTGGCATCCTCGTAGAGGCAGGTAACTAACGACAGACAAC